TGAAGTGTGGAGTCACAAAAGAGAAAGATAAATACAGTGGAATAGGCTGCTTGCATCTCAAGATCTGTTTTCCCTTCTCTCTGAGTAATTAACGAGGGCATCTAAAATACTACCTAGGACTCCCTGCTTTCCGGTATCCATGTCTTGTGAAATTCCACTCCTTGAGTGTAGGCTGGGCCCGTGACTTGCTTCTAACAAAAATTATATGGCAAAAGTGATAGAAAGAATATCACTTCTGAGATTAAGTTACCAAAAGATTCTGGCTTCTGTCTTGCTCTTTCCCTTGCTTTTTTCCCTTCCTGCTCTGTTCCACCTTGTGTGTTATGAGCTGCCCCCTGCAGGGCCTCATAGGACAAGAAATCGATTTCTCTGGCAACAGCCAACAAGGACTTGATGGCTGCCAATGGCCTTGTGACTGAGCTTGGAAGTGGATCTTCTGAGGATGCTGACAGCCAATGGAGTGAGCCCAGAAGCAATCCTCTCCAAACAGAGCCTTGGCCAACACCTTGACTAAGCTGCATCCAGCTTCCTGATCCACAAAAACTGTGAGGCAAATGTTTCCCGCTTTAAGCCATTACATTTTGGGGGGCTTTGTTACAAAGCAATAGTTAACTAGTACAGCTATAGAAACTCTGATTTTAACTGAACAGATAAACTTCCAGTCTATTTTTTACCATGCTGTTTCCCAGCCTCCCTAACAGTTAGATGTGGCCAGGTAATAGAGTTATAGCCAACAGAACGTGAGCGATGACGTATGGAACTTTCAGACCAAGGCTTTTAACATGTGGCTATGCAGGTTCCATTCCCCTTCCCATTCCTCTAGACAAAACACAGGAAGTTATGAAAACAGCAGAGCTTCAAGACGGAAAAACCTGGATCCCTGAATCACCATACAGAGGAAGGCTACTCAATGACCAGGATCATCCATTTGAACTGTTTGTGATAAATGAATTTCTACTGTGTTGGAGTCATTATAATTTGGGGGTTTGTGACCACAGACAACCATGCTAATTAAGACTTTTATGGGAAAGAAAGAACAACTTTTCTCTGGAGTAAACCACTATGATTTTGGGTACCGGTCACAAGAAGCCTAACCTGTATCCTTGTCAATATATATGCCTTAAGAATTTTATCTTTACCTAGATACATATTCCCTTGTCATTCTCCAAGGCCTTTCTCTTGAGTACAGTCTGTCTGATTGGAATTCTGGGTCCTCTTTCTTACACAAACTATATGCCTAGTTCTTTGCATTTGATTTTCAGTTTCATTATGTTCAAAGCAGAGACAAGTTAAAGACTTGTGAATCAAATCAAATGCAGACTCCTACTAGACCTGGGGCTTTACAAAGTCTTTCTAGGGGCTCGTTGGTGGCTCAGTCAGTAGAGTGTTTGGTTCCTTGGTTTCGGCTCAGGTCATGATCTCACAGTCTGTGAGTTCGAGCCACGTGTTGGGCTCTGCACGGACAGTGTGGAGCTTACTTGGGAGTCTCTGTCTCTCCCTTTCTGCCCCTCCTCTACTCATGGTCTCGCTCTCAAAATAAACATTTAAAAAAAAAGTCTTTCTAGTCTCTCATAACCACCTTGCCTACACCCAATTCAATAGTTATTTTTTTATTAGCATTCATCTTTATCCAGTCTTTCCAGAGCATTTTTGGTTTTCTTAGAAACAATTCCTTTTCTTTGCAGACTCAACTTTTATCAATTTGTGTAATTTACATAATTATGAGTATGACAGAAATAGATGGGTAACAAACACAACTAACTCATACTAAGCATTCCTCTCAGCTGTTGGGAGGGAGCAGTTTGGTTTACACAGGTGTGAACCAAAGCGAAGGCTACTAGCTGTGTAGTATTTTTAGTACTTCCCAGGGATCAGCTGGCATATTTCAGAAAGAGTATTAAAAACATTAGTTAAGTGGACAGTGTTTAGGAAGAGCTTCTACTATATGTGATGTGTACGTTTAGGAAAACAGAGACCATAGATTTCATCTACTTTTCAGAGAGAGCTCTGATCTCTAAAATATTAAATACCATCCTAAAAAATTAAGAACTAATCCACGACACCAAGCTGAGCACTCAACAGCTTCTCTTCCTTTATCTGTTTTTGGGTATTTGTGCGTTTACCTTTTTCTTGAGTACTCCTTTTCCTCTAAAAACTAAATTCATACAGGGGCACCTGGGTGGCTCAAGTGTCTGACTCACAGTCTGTGAGTTTGAGCCCCCCAGCAGGCTCTGTGCTGACAGTGTGGAGCCTGCTTGGGATTCTCTCTCCCTCTCTCTCTCTCTCTCTCCCCCTCCCTCCCCCTAGCTGGCTAGCAGGTGTGTGCTCTCTCAAAACAAACTTAAAAAAAAAAAAAAATCAGGGGCGCCTGGGTGGCTTAGTCGGTTAAGCGTCCGACTTTCGCTTAGGTCACGATCTCGCGGTTCGTGGGTTCGAGCCCCGCGTCGGGCTCTGTGCTGACTGCCAGCTCAGAGCCTGGAGCCTGTTTCAGTCTGTGACTCCCTCTCTCTCTGACCCTCCCCTGCTCACGCTGTCTCTCTCTCTCTCTCCTAGAAATAAATAAAACATAAAAAAAAAAAAAAATCAGACTCTAAAGGTCAGTTGAGAATTTTCCAAGTAAATGAGGCCCCCTAACTCTGCTGAGGTCAAATGTTCCCAGCACTGAGAAACTGACTCTGACCATGCCATCTAAAGGAAAAGCCCTTATCAATTTTGATCCCTTCACCTTTTTGTTTTCTTCATAGCATGTATCACTGTTTGTTGTATTATCTAGTACATACTCAATGATAAAAATTCTAGCGTTCAGGATATATTTCACATGTGTTTATAATGTCAATATCAGATTTCCCAGTCTTTCAAGACAGGTGTGTCTTTTTTTTATGGGAAATTACTTAAGTGAAGAAGAAAAATACACTTATGGACTAAACAAACCACTAAGGGAGCCTACAGCAGCCACAAATTTGGAAACTTTGTACTAGGGAGATGCCTTTTAAATCTGTATCAATACAAGGAAATCTCACTAGAATGAAGCTGAGATGTCAGCAGCTGGAGCTCTTACACCCCACCGCTCCTAGTCCATTGCAAACACAGCAGGAAGAGCCTGCCCTGCGAGTCTATTTACTTTTGCTATTACTTTACTACCCCAGTAGGAGAAACGCTTTCCTCTGCCCAGGCAACAACTCAGCCAATGAAAACCACTATGGCTCCAACTCCCAGGGCATTCCAATGGGCTTTTAATTTATAAAAGCCTTCCCAAATTCCCCTTTTCCTCTATAAACTGGCAATCTTCTTTTGCTCTGTGGATTTCCCTGTGATTTTCCCATCGCTTGCTTGTCCCCAGCTGCAATTCTCTGCTATTCTCAAATAAACCCCCTCCTTTTTTTTTTTTGCTGGCAAAATAACTGGTTGTATTTTTAAGGTTAAGAAATTGCATTTTCATGTTCCCCAGAAATGAAACCAAAAAAGCTTAATCCCCAAAGTTAAGAGATGAGGTGAGAGCAATAACAAAGGAAAAAAGGAGAAGAAATGTGATTTAGAAAGTAAGAGGCAGGCAGGGTGGCTCATGAGAGCATTTGCCTTTGGCTAAGTTGTGTGAGTTGGAGACCCACAGCCAGCTCTCTGTTGTCAGCACAGAGCCTGCTTGGGATCCTCTGTACTCCTTTCCCTCTGCTCCACTCCCTCTCTCTCTCTCTCTCTTAAAAATAAATAAACTTAAAAAAACAAGTAGGAGGCAACTGCACAGTCATCATGCCTGAAAAATATACTGTTATCAAGTCATCATGTTGAACACCTGCAACCACTATCCTGCTACAGGCTAATTAAAAAAAGAAAATAGGAGGCAAGCCAAAAGGTTTTTATGATCTGGAGTTTAATAATTTCTCCCCTTACATTGTAGCATTTCTGACGGTCCTATAAGGAAACAAATGATTTCCCAAACTTTGTCCAATCTCCGGCTTTCCAGCATTTTTTTTTCCTATTTATTCCCCTGGAGGGAGCAAAATTGAAAGACCAGTCAGATTTTGTTCTCAGAGTTCGAGTTAATGCTCAAACTCATTAGAGCAGTGGTTCTCTAACGTTAACAAACATTAGACTCACCTATAGTTTATGAAAACAGATTCCTGCCCGCCAACCTCCCCCGCACCCCGGGAGATTCTGGTCCATTAAACCTGAAGTCGCTCCCCCAAATTTGTATTTCCAAGGAACTCCTAAGTGATGCTGATACTGCTGGTTGGACTGTGGGAAGCACTACACTGAGGCTCGCGGGAATTCGATGTATAAGTGTGACCACCGCAATTTACGTTTAGAAAGGCAAACTTCGCAAAAAACAAAACAAAGCAACCAATCGACCAAACAAGCAAAAACCCCGACACACTCCCAGACAAAAGCAAACCTCTAGGAAGCCACACATGCTCCCGCTTAGTCTGCACAATTTGCTTTATCGGTTCTATGAAAAGGTTCGTGTCATTTAAACACCTACCTAAACCGGTTCCGCCAAATTCCCGCCATTCAAGGCCATACTAAAGGTCAGGCTCCTGCCTAAGACACAGCAGCAGTCGTCTTACGGACATTGAGCCTCCTTCACCTGCGTGGAAAAATGTACCGCCCGCTCCCCACCTCCCCGACCCGACTTGACATTGACCTCAAAGGGGCTATCTACTTCTCTCAAGGTAGAGAGCGTCGGTTTTAGGAATGTTTGCATGAATACAGTGAACCTGCTTCGGGCAGGACCGGAGCTACACACGTCAGTGACAGTTAAAAGAACAAAAAACCGAAACGCTAAACTCCCGCCGCCGCTACGGTGCTGGAACCACCCTCTCTTCCACCTGGAGGACGAAAGGGGCTTGGCCGAGCGCGCGGCGCCCACGTGACCGCCGAGAGCCGCGCACAGCTCTGTCGCGCGATCTGCCGTCATATCAGCTTATGCCGCCGGCCCCTGATTGGCTGGCGGCTCCTGCTGCTAGGAGCGTGGGTCTGGCCACGCCCCTCCGGGCCCGGCCGGCTGGCTGACCGCCGTTGGGCTCCCTGTGGCTCCCGGCAGCCTACGACCCGAAGGAGGTGGATCGGCGGCGGCGGAACCCTCGGGAGGTAGGGGTGACAGGAGGGCGTGGAGGAGGCGGCGGAATACCGCCGGAGCGGGATGGGCGAGGAGAGAAAGGAAATCGGAGGGAGAGAAATCAGCAGGGTGGGTCCCAGGTGCGGAAGATGGGCGCGCGCCGGACGCTTTCTTTCACCACTGGCTGAGGGTGTCAAGCTCCTGGCGGGCGCTGGGGCTCCGGCGGTGACCCGTGGCCGGGATTGGCAGGCAGCCGGGCGTCCTGGCAGTGTGCGCAGGCTGTGATGGGTCGAGTGCGGGACGCAGAGGGCGCTCGCTGTCCCGGGCTGGCGGGGGTGGAGAGAGGGGCGGCCGGAGACCTGGGGTGGGGGGGGCTCTAGCCCGGCCGGAGGTTTCGGGGCGCGGAGGAGGCACACACGTGAAAGCAACAGACGCAGCGAGGGACGTGAAGAAAACGAGCTGTGTGGTGTTGGCCTCTGCGAATCGCTCATCCCAGGGAAGTCTGTCCAGCGATCGCTCATGCTTTGCTTTGAGACAGATTTCCCTGTGTTTTGGAGGGTTCCCCTCCCCCCACTTTTTTAAAGGGGCAAAGATATTAGGCTGTGACCTCCTGACCATTGCAGTGCAAACCCCAGTTACTGCAACGTAATTCGAATGGAGGGACAACAGTCCACGGTTTGTAAAGACTAGAAGAGAAGGGAAATACTGTATCCATTTAGCATCGAAAAAGGAGAAAATCATGTCTTTTGGCATCCCTGTGTTATAGCAGAGTAAATTTGGAGGTTGTGTAAAGTTTCAAACGTCAGTACATAAAGTTTCCAAACTGGAAAGCTTGTGGCAGGCAGATATTTTCTTTTGATTTTTTTAAAAAATGTTTATTTTCGAGAGAGAGAGAGAGAGACAGTGTAAGCAGGGGAGGGGCAGAGAGAGAGGGAGACACTGAATCCCAAGCAGGCTCCAGGCTCCGAGCTGTCAACATAGAGCCTGACTCGGGAGCTCGAACCCACGAACCTGAAGATCCAGACCAGAGCCAAAGTCAGGCACCCCTAGGCAGATATTTTTAACCAAAACCTTCCGTCAGGTTACTTGTCTTTATATCACCTTCAGTGTGTGCGTGTGTGTTTAGGTTTCTAATGATAAACATCTAAAAAAATAAGTACATGATCCTTGATCACTTACAGAAATGCTTGTCCATTGATTATGTAATGTAATTAGCATGGAATAGTGAGAATTCCCCATCCGTGTTTATACAGTTCGAGAGAGAATGAGAGAGAACATAATGTAGAAGCTGGGAGAACAGACTCTGGAATATACATCCCAGTTGTTACTTGTACTTAAGTTATTTAAACACTCCTGCCCTCAGTTTTCCTTTCTCTAAAGTGAGGGTTACAGAATAACCTACCTCCTAGGATTGTGAGAATTAAACAAAGCAATACATAAAAAGCGTTTTTAAACAATACCTGGTTCTCAACAAATGTTAGCTGTTATTGTCTATACTTTTAAAATAAAGCAAAAGTAATAGTAGACTCAGTCATTCTAAGCCTTATTGCGTTTTATTAATAACTTTTATTTTTAAAAAGTTTCTTTGTTTCTGTAAGTGTAAAATAATGCCAGCTTTGTTTCAGTAATGGGTCGTTAACTTGGAATCTGTGAAGATTCTAAGGGGGGTATAAACCCCTTAAAATTATATGCAAAATTATTTGAATTTGCAGTCACTGAGAATGTTAACAATTAAGGCGCTGAAGAGTTGAGATAGTGATGAAGAGGCCCTGGAACTTAGTGCAAGTTTATGAACTTGGACTCTGTGGGGCACCTGGGTGGTTCAGTCAGTTGAGCGTCCAGCTCTTGATTTGGGATCAGATCATGATCTCACCATTCATGGGTTCGAGCCCTGTATCAGGTTCTACACTGCCATTATGGAGCCTGCTTGGGATTCTCTGCCTCTGCCCCTCCCCTACTCTCACCTGCTCTTTCTGTCTGTCTCTCTCTCTAAACAATAAAACATAAATTAAAAAAAAAAAATAGACCTTGGACTTTGTAACCAGACCGCATGTGTTTGAATTCCCGCTCCAGCATTTGTTACTTGATAATCCCAAACATTGCTTGAATTTCCTGTGCCCAACTTCTTGATCCATAAGGTAATACTAGCACCTAACTCATAGGACTTCTTGAAAGGGTTAAATGAGCTAATATTTACGGTGCCTAGTATACAGTAAATACTGGTACTAAATATTATCAATTATTTTTCAAAGAAAAACCAAATGACCTCTTTCTCCCTTAGGTTAAAGTAATTTTGACTCAGCTTTGGCTCCCATAACAGCAGTTCTAATATCTCCAGTTATTAGAAACTAGAAATGTCCTTAAACCTTAAGAACAATTCTGTCATGAAGATATGTTATCTCATTTTACAGATGTGGGTTTGAATATAAACTTCAAATTTGAATTGCAGTTTTGAGAGTGTATTGTTCCTGACTTCAAAAGATTTTTTGGCTAGATGTCATAAAGCATAGCAATATATATAGGAATACTTAATATCTACCTTTGACAAGGAGAATTAATTGAAGTCAAAATTCTAAAAACACTTAAAACAGGTTTTATTTCACAGCATCTAAACTTCCTGGAGATTGACCGAGGTACATTCCCTCCTCCCTTCCAGGCACTGATTTTTTGTCACGGTGATTATGTAAAGGGAATATACAAATTAACACAGCTAGCATGGTCCTCAGATAAAAGCAAAACTGAAGTTAAGGACTGAGATCTTAGGAAAGTTATTACTTACATCTGCTATTGAAGGTTGACTAAAGTAGATTCTTGGTTAATGTTTGAGTTGTTTTTGGCTGCACTGTACTGTATTTACTTAGGGCTACGGGACAGTGTACCTAACATGCAGATTAGTCCATAAACTCTTAAGCAACCTGTAGTGGTGTCACAATATCTTTCTCAGTTGTTGGCTTGTTTTTAAAGGTTTGTGTTTCCCGGCATTACTTAGAGTACTCCCTTCGCTACGTTATTTCCCTTGTCAGTTTCTGCCCCTTTTGGCTTCAATTTCAACTACCACAATCTCACTTTTGAACTTCAGATTCATATTTGCATGTAGTCTACTGCTTTATGTCTAAGAGTAAACATAGAGTTGAAGCTTATTAGTCTATGCTAATTAGATGTAAGACTCAAACTGAAGCCATCATTCTGTATACACCCCAGTCCCTGTGGCACCGAATATACAGCTCTGCCAATAGTCCCTCTTTTGATCATGATGACATCACTGTCCATTTGGGCCAGCTAAAATCTCACAGTCATCCTAGATTTCTCCCTCTTTCAGATTCCAGTATTTAATTGGTTGTCAAGCCCTGTGGTTTTATGGGTTTTTTTTTTTTTAAGCAGGCGCCACACCCACTGCTGAGCCCAACAGGGGGCTTGAACTCATGACCCTGGTTCAAGACCTGAGCTGAGATCAAGAGTCAGACGCTTAACCAACTGAGGCACCCAGGCGTCCCAAGCCCTATGGGTTTTTTACTTGCTCAATCTCTGATGAATATGTATGTTCTTAGAGCTGGGCTAGACTACTGCAGGAGCAACCAAATTAGTCTCTCTCTCTCTCTCTCTCTCTCTCTCTCTCTCTCTTTCCCTGCTTCTCTTCAATACTTGTATTCCTAATGGAATGGTTTCTATGAAGTACAAGTCTAATTATAACTTCTTCCCTGCCCAGAAACCTTTTAGTATCTCTCCGTTGTTGTATAAGGGAAAGTTCGATTTCCTGGCAGGGCAGCAGAGCCCTTCACAGTCTGATACCACTTTGCTTTTATAAGGTTTGCCCCCAAACATTTTCTTCCCCTCTGTTTTACCCATCACACTGTTTGGCACCCACCAGTGACACCCGTTGAGCCACGAATGTAGCATGACTTTTTCCATGCCTTTGCAAGTTGCTATTTTTATTTGAAATGCCTATCTCTAACCTTTTCTTTCTGATAATGTCCTTGAACACATGAATCAGATGTGTGTATACCTTTATGATAGCATTTGCATTGATGTAATTATTTCTGTAATTGCCTTATCTTGCACATGGATTTCGACTGTATCTTTTCAGTCTTTATAAGCTCATTATCGAGTTTAGAGCTTGATGCTTAATTGTTATTTGAATGAATTAACAATATATGGTGAAGGATATATGTCAGTTATCTGGCGTGTGGCATTAGTTAAAACTTTCCATACTAAAGTGAGAAAAAAAAAATGCTTACAATGCCTATCGCAAAAAAGGAGCTAAACACTCTTCATAAATAAGGACTTCTAGAATTTGATATTAAGAAACTGAAAACCCAGTGGGAAAATGGGCAAGGGATAAAAACATAACTTCACAGAAAACATATAAACTATTCTAAATAGGTATACTCATGCTCAACCTCACTGATAATAAGAAAAAGATAAATATATACTGAGATATCATTTCTTTGCTATCAGATTAGCGAGCATCTTAAAGTTTGATGCTATTCTCTGTTAAGGTTACAGGGAAACAGATACTATGGCCTTGCAAAGGGGTACAGTTCCTGGCAGAGCAATTGGACAGTGTCTACCAGAGTTACCAATGCAGTTCATCTCTGCCCTAGCTCTTCTGCTTGTAGAAATTTATACACTGTAGGGTTAATCGTTGTAACATTGCTTTAAATCGCCTAAGATTAGAGTCTATCCAAATCCATGTACATGAGTTAAATAAATAGCAGTGAAGTCACACAAAGGAACATACGACCATAGTCCCATAGCCACACTTTCAAAGCCTGAAAAGCCCTGAAAAACCAGAAGGGTTTTGTTTTGTTTTTTAAAGATTGGCACTCAATCTCATTTGATGGCATGGGCTGACTCCAGCTGACTGACATGCCCATTTTGTGTTGGTGCCCCTGTCAAGAACCCCCACCCCTTGCAATTTGCTGGGACTGTTTTGGTTACTTTGATTTTAATTGCATAGGGAAACATTAAAAAAAAAAAAAAGGTAGTGAAAGGTAGCCCATGTGAGTAACAGAATTAATGGAAGCATCTGTCATTAGTAATACATGGAACACGGAGTTATGTATTGTAGGAACTTGTGCACAGTGTGTCTGTGAGGCCTCCTGCTGAAAAAGATGGTGTGGGCATTGCCACCATATGTGACTTAAAGACTAGAAAAACAGATTGCCCAAGTTTTACACTGGTGATGAGGACCAGAAAGAACTAATGAAAAGGGGAAACCATTGCCCAGGACAGAAAACAAAGATCCTTAACCACGTTCTGATTAAGTGGATGTGACAACAAGAACATAAATAAATGCCACCAATGGCTTTGTTGATCTTGAAACAAGCTAGAATACATCATGAAGCATTACTGCTGGAGATGAATGTCAGGATTAAGAAGGGAGGAGTCAGAAATTTAGGAAGCAGCATAATGAAAAATATCTGAAAATATGGTGAAAATTACTCTGGTGGTCATGAAACAGCTAAATATAACCCTGATGAATTGGCCAGGGTAATACCCGATGGAGCCCTGAGTGCTGAATACGTTTGCAATGGTGGTGGGACGTCGTGGTGGCATATTGTTAATTGCTTTGCACAGAAACTGTGCCACTTTGCAAGGCCGTAGCAATGTAGACTAGTGCCTGCTTTCCTGCAGCCTTACCACCAGAGAATATCCTCAGACTTCAGGATATTTGTTCATCTGACAGCAAAGAAATGGTATCTCAGTATATATTTACATGTACGGCATTTGAACAAGCCTCACAAAACACCTGGGCAAAAATCTCCAGACTGGCTCACTAAACACCTGAGGGATCCAAGCTCTAGGCAAGCCGGACTGAAGACAATGGAAATTTTTAAGTTATTCACCGACCACTCTGTTGTGCATTCTCCTCCTCAAAAAGTTTGCAGTTGCCAGCCCCTGATCCCGAGAATTGATGGAGGGGGAGAAGTGTGTTCTAGTTCTTTATGCCAAGAACATGACTCCCTGGGGCGCCTGCGGGGCTCAGTCGGTTGGGCGTCCAACTTCAGCTCAGGTCATGATCTTCGTGGTCCGTGGGTTCAAGCTCTGCATCAGGCTCTGTGCTGACAGCTCAGAGCCTGGAGCCTGCTTTGGATTCTGTCTCTCCCTCTCTCTGCCCCTCCCCTGCTCACATACTGCCTCTCTCAAAAATAAACAAACAAACAAAAAGGAATGTCTCCCTTTGTCCTGTCAGTGGGAGGAGTGGCTTTTCCATCTGTCACAAGAACAGATAGTCCCTGACTTCTGCGGTTGAGATAGCAGCACAGATACCATCTAGCAAATTTATCGTAAGTCTCCGTGCTGAAAGAAAATGCCCTAAAATTGGAGTCCTTTTAGGAGAGATGTGCCTCTAAAGCTCGTAGCTGAAGGAGTAAACACCTGAGTCCTTACACCTTTATGCATTGCACATCTTCACTACTTCTCATGCTGCCATAGGATATATGTTGGGAAAGAACCCCGAGATGACATTAGATCTGGACTGATGCCACTTACCAGCTTGATGTCCCGGAAAAAACCTTCTGGGTGTCAGTTTCTCAGAGCTTTGACGTCCCCTTGTATAACACGAAGATTGGACCCGAGGTGATATTTAAGGTCCCTTCTGGCTCTTAGGGTGGCATTTTTCATACATGGTTTTTCTGAAAATGTTTCTCACTGAGAAATATCAAACGGGTAAATAATTGTTGCACGTGCTTATCCTTTAGGGGCCAAGATGGATCTTGTACTCAGTGCTGCAGATTATTATTTTTTTACGCCGTACATCTACCCAGCCTGGTGGCCTGAGGACAACATCTTCCGGCAAACCATTAGTCTCCTAATTGTAACAAATCTCGGCGCTTATATCCTTTATTTCTTCTTTGCCACACTGAGCTATTATTTTGTCTATGATCATTCGTTAATGAAGCATCCACAGTTTTTAAAGGTAAGTGATTTTCTTACCTACCTTTACCTGTTTTTACTGTAAAAATAATATATTTGTGTGTGAGATTTTCAGATCAAACTGGTTATAACCATTAAGTAAAATTTTTGCAACCAGCCTATCCGAGGCTGGGTTAGATGGTTTTGGTAGGGCTGATCCCCTCTCTCCTCTTAATTGAAACAAATAAATGAACCCAACTTCTTTTTTTTTTTTTAATTATAAGCCTGGTGTCTTGCTAGATACATAGAATTTCTTTGTTAGCAATGATGAATAAATGCACACATTTGTGTAATTGTTGACTTTCACAAACTGAAATATGTTTTTACTACATATATATCTTTTGACCATATAGGAGATTGTGGATTTATTTGCAGTCATTTTCTATTTCAGTTGTTTATATTTATCAGTTCCTCCAAGGACTGAAAAAAGAGAGGTTTGGAAATTTATGAAAGAAAGAATCATTTTATAAATAGAAATCTAGAATGCAGATTCTGTGAGAAAGAAAGATTAAGAATTTATGGTACTTCTTGCATTTGCTCTTTAAAAAAGAAGTACTTTCCTTACACATGCATTTCCACATATTAACTTTTTTTTTTTTAATGTTTTATTTATTTCTAGGAGAGAGAGAGAGACAGTGTGAGCAGGGGAGGGTCAGAGAGAGAGGGAGTCACAGACTGAAACAGGCTCCAGGCTCTGAGCTGGCAGTTAGAGGGGCCTGACGGGGGGCCCGAACTCACGAACTGCGAGATCGTGACCTAAGCGAAAGTCGGACGCTTAACCGACTAAGCCACCCAGGCGCCACTCCACATATTAACATTTTAACAGAACACTTTGGCAGCAAGCTCCTTCACATAAAAGAGATTTGAAAAGTCCATTCCAAGACTATTTCATGCTGGTTTTGTTTAACACAGATTGTGTCATTTTTAAGTATTGGAAATTTCATTTTCAGAATCAAGTCTACAGAGAGATTATGTTTACTGTCCAATCACTGCCATGGATTAGTATTCCCACTGTTTCATTGTTCCTGCTGGAGTTGAGAGGGTACAGCAAATTATATGATGACATAGGAGAGTTTCCAAGTGGTAAGTAAATAATATGAACATGAGGCACAGAGTAGTTTCTCTCCAGAACCAAACCTGCCTTTTTTCTTTTTCTTTAAAAATAATTACAGATTGTTTGTGGGATTTTTTTTCATTTAAAAATTTTTTTTATTTTACTTAATTTTTTTAATAGTTTATTTATTTTTGAGACAGAGAGAAACAGAGCATGAGTGGGGGAGGGGCAGAGAGAGAGGGAGACACAGAATCCGAAACGGGCTCTAGGCTCTGAGCTGTTAGCACAGAGCCTGATGCGGGGCTCGAACCCACGAACCGTGAGATCTGACCTGAGCCGAAGTTGGATGCTTAACTGACTAAGCCACCCAGGTGCCCCTATTTAAAATTTTTTAATGTTTATTTATTTTGAGAGAGAGAGACAGACAGAGCACGAGCAGGGGAGGGGCAGAGAGAGAGGGAGACACAGAATCTGATGCAGGCTCCAGGCTCTGAACTGTCAGCACAGAGCCTGATGTGGGACTTGAACTCACAAACCATGAGATCATGACCTGAGCTGAAGTTCGTCACTCAGCCAACTGAGCCGCCTGGGCACCCCTTAGTTTATTTAAAAAAAATTTTATTAATTTTTATTTCAGAGAGAGAGAGCAGGGGTGAGGGTGGAGGGTGGGCAGTGGAGAGAGAGAATCTCAAGCAGACTCTACGCTCAGCCCAGAGCCCAATGTGGAGCTCGATTTCATGACCCTGGGATCATGATCTGAGCCAAAATCAAGAGCTGGATGCGCAACCGGCTGAGCTACCCAGGTGCCCCTGTTTAATTGTTTTTTAATGCTTTGTTTTTATGCATTCATGGCTTGGCACATATGTACATTTTCTAATCTATCAATGTTAAAGTCTTGGTTGTGGATGGAATTGTGCTTAGGAGAAGATGGATGTGATCAGAGATAGAGCTTTGCATTTATTTGGCATTCTTTTTATTGAATTCATACACCCACAAAGCTCATATAGTACATGATAACTATAGAAAATAAGAAAATACAGATTTTAAATCCACTGCCCTGCTACCTAGAAACTACCTCTTTGGACATACATCCTTCCACTTTTCTGTGCATGTATACTTCATCATTTATGTTACAAAAATGAAGCCCTGCTACACATAGTGGTTGGGACTTCGATTTTTTTTTCTTGGTGTATATATGGCCAGCTTTTCATGTCAGTAAATATTGACTTATATAGTATATTAGTTACAGTATCACATTATGTAGCTATCCATAGTTTATTTAAATGATCACCAAATTTTAGACTTTTAGATTATTCCTTTTTTTCTTTTGTAGCCAGCCCTGCAGTGACTCAACTTAATTTTTGTGAAATTCTGAAATTATTTAATGAAAATAACATTTCTAGTGTCTAGCATTAGAAAGCAAGAATAGTAGTGAGCATTTATTAAGTGGTAATACGTACCAGCTACAGTTCTAAGCTTTTCGCATGTCCATTTTATTCTACATCAGGTCTAGGACATAGGTCCTATTATTACGTTCCTTTTAGGTGAGTAAATTAATGTACAGAGAGTGCCAGTAACTTGCGCAGGTCATTCAGCAAATAAGTGGTCTGTCTGGGACTGGCCCCCAGGCTCGCTGCTACCAGCACCTGCCATCCAAGTAAGAGGTTAGATATTTAAAAGAAGGAATCAGAATTATACAGTAGGATGATGAATTGACTAGGCCTTGAAAAGTGCAGGACTATGAGTAACAAATAAAAGGAGAAAGGGCATTCTAGATATATAGAAGAGAATGAGTAAAGGTACAGAGGTGAAACTTGCAAGAGGTGGGGAGGACATTGAGTAAACCGGCCTGGTTAGTATAGGAACAGATGAGGCAGGGAAGAGCAGAAAGAGTTGGGTTATGGAGTAACTCCTAGGTTTAATGCATTTAGTGGGAAATAAAGTTCTAAGCAGGAAGACAGTATGTAAAGATATGTCTTATTAGGATCAATGTGAAGGAAACATTAACTGTGTTATTTATGCCCAGAGATTTAAAGTATAAAGAAGTCTCGAAGCATAGGTTTTTCTCTGTCTCATAAGTGTCTTCATAGTTTGACATTTTAGGTGGGGCACTATAAGAGGCGAATGAGGAAATGAGCAGATACCAGAGAGATTAGGGAGATTAATTTATAAGGTATTGAATTAGCCAACGCGGTGCATAGTGTTGAGTCTAGGATCGTATTTTGCCCACTCAGATGGACAAGTACAAAGTAAACTCTGATCCTGGAAGCAGATCTTGCTTCTGACCCACCCTGTTGTTTCTTCTAGGCTGGTTTCGGCTCCTTGTTAGTATCCTGTCCTTCCTCTTTTTCACTGACATGCTGATCTACTGGATTCACAGAGGCCTTCATCATAGACTTGTGTATAAGGTAGAGTGATTTTTAGGGGAAAGTGAAAAAATACATCCATTTCAGTGGTGTATGGTTACAAATTCTGATTTCTGTTTCCCAGAGTCTCCTGTAACTTACTAATACCTAAGTAGCCATAGCATGACAAATACCAGGTTTATTTTGTTTGGGTCCTTCATGGGTCTGGAGGGGCTATGTTAAAATTTTACCATGTTCAGGTAAAGGAGGGCATTTTATAAAGTGATTTTGCCGAATTTACATTGATTCTTTAGTTAGGTCATTTCCACAACATGAGCATGAGAAGCTAAGTTGGAAAGTAAAGGTGGTTATTAACTGTGTTCTCTCCTTCTGTAGCGCATTCACAAACCTCACCATCTCTGGAAGATTCCTACTCCATTTGCAAGTCATGCTTTTCACCCTGTGGATGGCTTCCTTCAGAGTCTACCTTACCATATATACCCTTTTGTCTTTCCATTACACAAGGTGGTTTATTTAGGTTTGTACATCTTGGTCAACATCTGGACAATTTCCATTCATGATGGTGATTTCCGTGTTCCCCAGATCTTACGGCCATTTATTAATGGCTCAGCTCATCATACAGATCACCACATGTTCTTTGACTATAACTATGGACAATATTTCACCTTATGGGATAGAATTGGAGGCTCATTCAAAAATCCGTCCTCCTTTGAAGGAAAGGGACCACTTAGTTATGTGAAGAAGATGTCAGAAGAAAAGTGGAACAGTCATGCAGAAAACGGTTGTAAAAATGAAAAATTATTCAGTGGAGAGCTTACAAAGACCGAGTAGTAGAGTGTTGCCCTGTTACTGAATATGATGAAATATGTTTAGTAAAGAAAAATAATCTACATACACACAACGAAGAGACTTAGCAAATAAATGGTATTTGAAAGTCCGCATTGTGGGTAATGCTGATCATGATGGTAGATAAGGAAAGATGCTGTGAACACCAAGATCTTTAACTTCATGCTTACCATACTAGGTGTTGCTCTAAAGGTGTTGTTGGTCTAGCTATAGTCTAGCCAGCATATCTATAACTTGTATAGCCTCAACAGTTTTTATAAGGATAGAGAAATTATTGAGGGGACTAGGTTATGTCCTTTTGCCTTAAGCCACCCATACTGATTAAGAAAAATATGTTGTGCTTGATAATACCAGACTAAGCATCATAAAAAAGAAATACTAATAGAAAGAAATATGGTTACTTATTTCAGGAATGGTTAAGTCTCTGACGTCAGTATGATAACAACTACCTACAGTATTTTGTTCATGTGGAAACAACAGTGTGAAAACAAAACTCTGATAAAATATATTAGCAGTCAAGTAAATGACCTGATTAATAGCAGGTATAATAAGATTATCATCTTCCTACATGTGGGAAGCTTATTCTCTGCGGACATTGTCAACTATTACATTTTACTGGTGAAAAATATAAATTAGAATTTTAAAAAATACCGATACCACCATGATTTAATCCAAACTTGGGATTATTTTAAGATTTTGATGGTTATTGTTTTAAACCATTGTTTAATAAGTGTAAAATTATGTGAACCTGAATATAGTTAGAAAGGGAAATTTGATACCCAAGTAATATATTTGACACTACTGCTTTTTTAATTAAATGGATGCACTGCACTTTTGATATGTTTCAAAGTTACAATCCTGTAATTTCCTGTGAAAGGAAGTAATTACCAAATATTTAGGCCTATCACTGAAGATTAGCTTTGAAAACTTATTTTCTTTCTGTCCTCTCCCTTCACTTTTCCCCATATTCTGTGCAAAAAGATTTAACAAATACTTTCATAAAGAAATGTGTGTTGTAACAAATATATTGGAAAAACATGGTTTGGAAAGGCATTCTTATAAGCTATTTATGTAAAATCAATAAAAGTTGATTATTACTATTATTGAACTGTATCAGTTAAATATTGTAACAGCACAAAGGATTCTTTGTACAAATTCTGTGTGAATTTGAAACCACAGAAATGATGTGCATTGTCAGAACTTTTAAATGTTCCCAAACGCTCAAGTTCAGGAGAGAAAGAGGGCATATCACATTATTTTCATATTTCACATTTTTATTAGGTTTGAGTGTTTTAGCAAGAGACCAGTCATAAAGCTTAATGCTTGGTATCCTGAAGAAAATCTTTTTTTTCTGAGATACTGTTAATGGTGTCCTACTATTTAAACATACTAGGTGCACCTGGTGTTTTGTGACTGATAAATGCAGACAAGTGATTTTCACTACCCCCCCCCCCGGCTCCAGTGCTCCATTTTGCCCCCCAAAATTAGGAAATTAAGAAGTAAACTTTGTTTCCGGTGATAATGACAGCTAATATTCAAGTTTTCTATTTCCTGTTTTGGCTTTGGTAGTTTATATGTTTCTAGGAATTTATCCATTTCTTCCAGGTTGTCCAATTTGTTGGCATATCGTTTTTCATAATATTCTCTTATAATAGTTTGTATTTTTGTGCTATTGGTTGTCTCTCCTCTCATTTGTGATTTTATTTATTTGGGTCCTTCCTCTTTTGGATAAGCCTGGATAGAGGTTTATCAGTTTTATTAATGTTTTTCTAAGAATGTGCTCCTGGTTTCACTGATCTGTTTTTTCTTTTGGTTTTTTAGTTTCTATATCATTTATGTCTGCACTAATCTTTACTATTTCCTTCTTTCTGCTGGTGTTAGGCTTTGTTGTTCTTTTTCTAGTTCCTTTAGATGTAAGATTAAGTTGTTTGGGACTTTTCTTGCTTCGTTGGGTAGGCCTGTATTGCTGTGTACTTCCCTCTTAGGACTGCTTTTGCTGTGTCCCAAAGGTTTTGGACTGTTTTGAATGACGGCTAATATTTATTGAGCTTGTGCTCTTGATCAGGCACTATTACAAGTCCTTGACATGAGGAAATGGGGATGCACTTGTCTGACTTTTCCAAGGTTATTTCTCTCTCATTGTAAAGCCAAGTGTGGATGTTTCTGGTCGGTGGACAGCTTTCCACAGCCATTCTGAGACCCAGGCTCCTTCCATCTTAGGGCTGCCTGTCTCTAATTTACAGAACCTTCCTCGTTGAAGGAGCCCATAGAGGAAGAGGGAGAAGTACCCTCTGTGGATCAGGCCTGAGAGTCTTGCATATGCCTTGCCATGTTCCTTTGGACAAAACTTAGTTGTATGGCCAATCACACCGAAAGACTTTGATTCTGGAAAATGTGTCCAATTGTGCCTGGGAGCCTGGGGCAACTGCTTTCTGGAACAGCTAGCCAGTTTGCCATGCTCACGTAATTTATTCCTCTTTTTGGGGGTCCCAGTAAAGGCATTGAAGTGGTGAATGAGACCCCAGAGTATTTCAAGGTATCTTTGTATCCTTAATTCCCCAATTCCCATTGTGAGTGTTAGTTTCCTCTAGATTCTTACTTCTGTGTCGCTAATAGAAAAGAAAGGACAGAATTTATCGGGAGAGGAAAGCTTCCTAAAGATGTTAATAATAATCAGACTAATCTGTATCCTCTTGCCTTTTTTTCCTTTTTTTTCCACCTTTTTTCTTTAATTCTAATCTCATTAAGCAGTATTACATTAAGTAGTCCCACATTATTTTCTATACTACTAGTGCATTGTCCAAGGCTCCTTTAGAGGAATTCAGACAATATTCATGGAAGTGAGGATCTAAATTCCTTCTCACAGGAACATCAAGTGCAAGGCTTTCCCCCTTGACTTTGAAACCTTTTATAGTTAAAGAACAGATAGGGACAGTCAGCTTTTTCCACTTTTATGGTAGTAATTGGGAAATGGATGGAGGTGGTACAAGAACACATTTTGAAAACACATTTTGTCTCTTGTTTCTTTGTCTCTCTGTCTCTTTATGCTGTGAATTTCCTACTTCTCATTTTTCTGCCCCATGTTTCTTCCTCTTCCCATCTTAAGTCAGGGACAGATCCGGCAGAGAATTATGAGTTTAGGTTTTGATACATGAAGTCTGCAGTGCTAGCAGATTATTTAAATAGAGATGATGTCTGGGAGGAAGATGGAAAGTAGGAAGACAGATCAGAACAAAGATTTGAGATCAACTCGGAGAAGCAAAGTGTGAGGCCATGAGAGTGCCAAGGGAGCATGAAGAAAGAGACCCAAAGAAACAAAACAACTTAAGGGGTAAAGAACTTCCTTTCCTTGTCTTCCCTACTTCTTCAAAGTCAAACACCTTGACTGGCAGTCTCCTATCAGCAGTTACTGCTTTTTGTCCTCTCTCATTGTTAACTGTACCCAATTTATTCTAGACACCAGAATCCTTCAAAGCAGAGACCGTGTGTGAATCATTATTGTATTAAAACTATGTGTCCTTAAAAGACATGGTTGAGATGCGGGGCGCCTGGGTGGCTCAGTCCATTAAACGTCCGACTTGGGCTCAGGTCATGATCTCATAGTCTGTGAGTTTGAGCCCTGTGTTAGGCATTGTGCCAACCCCTCCCCCCCCAAAAGAAAACATGGTTGAAGGTTGCTAAATACTTTGCTGAATAAATTAATGAAGTGATGGAAATGCTGTTCTCATCAGTAAGCATTTAATGAACCCTCAACAGGTGTCACACACTGCACCAGATGCTGCAGATATTTATTCTGTAGATTCTTAAACACTGTCTTTTTAGCCAATAATTCACGTCTTACTCATTAGCTGACATTTGCTAAGTGCCTGGGAGGAGTTAAAGAGAAAGTAAAGAGGATTTGGATGGGTTCTAATCAAGGATGGACTGTCTTTTTTCTCACTCAAAGTCACACCCCCACTGGGAATGAACGAACAACACTGGCCAGTACCCTGGATTCTGACCATATAGGAATCAGTAGTATGAGTATCGATCACAGAGTTGAATGCATCTGTGTGGAGTTACTACAGAACAGTGCACTGGATACAAAAAGAAAAAAAAAAGATCTTCAAAATTACTGGCTGATTACACCAAGAAATACTGAACCTAGGAAGACAATCTGTAACTTCTGCTAGAATGTAATTCATCTCCAGGGAATTAACAGACACTAATTGCTTTGGAGTTAAAACAGTGTTAAGTCCTGGCTCTGCCACTTGCAGACTATATGACCTTAGTTTATCTGTAAACTGATGAAAATACTCTCTATCTGATAAGATTAAATGCATTAGAAACAATTAAATGTCAACAGAGGCTATTTTTCATGTAAATTGTGGGCCTCTGCTTTGTAGGTTCAGCGATTATTATCATTATACCTAGGATAGCCTCTCAATGGAAATCACTTACTGGGAGAAAAAAATGCCCTTGGGTAATTTCACCTTAACATGGGAGAGTGAGAGACATGGGTTGAACGAGAAATAGGGAGCACAGAGGAAAAATCCTAAGAAAATCCAAAATTGACACATCTATCTACTGTAAATTTTCTTTGTAAGAATTGTTAAGATCTCTAAATTATTTGTTGCTAAGTAATTTTGTTTTAAAAATGCATTGTCGGGGGGCGCCTGGGTGGCTTAGTCGGTTAAGCGTCCGACTTTCGCTTAGATCATGATCTCACGGTTCGTGGGTTCGAGCCCCGCGTCGGGCTCTGTGCTGACTGCCAGCTCGGAGCCTGGAGCCTGTTTCAGTCTGTGACTCCCTCTCTCTCTGACCCTCCCCTGTTCACGCTGTCTGTCTCTCTCTCTCCTAGAAATGAATTAAAAAAAAAAAATTTTTTTTTAAAAATAAAAAAATAAAAATGCATTGTCGGGGCGCCTGGGTGACTCAGTCGGTGAAGCATCCAAATCCTGGTTTGGCTCAGGTCATGATCTCACGGTTGGTGGGATTGAGCCCTGCATCAGGCTCTGAGCTGACAGTGCAGAGCCTGCTTGGCATTCTATGTCTCTCTCTCTTTGCCCTTCCCTCTGCCTCAAACAAGTAAGTAAACTTTAAAAAGGTAAAATATTTGTGCTATCGACTTTCATCCACTTCTTGTATCATTTTGTTATCGATTTTAAAATTATAGTGCTCGCTTTGGTAGTACATATACTAAAATTGGAACAATACAGAGAAGATTAGCATGGCCCCTGCGCAAGGATGACACGCAAATTCGTGAAGCGTTCCATATTTTTTGGGCATGGAGGAGGACACTTGTGGGGATGAGCACTGGGTGTTATGTGGAAACTAATTTGACAATAAACTATTTGTAAAAATGCAAAATTTGACTTTGATTAATACATAACCATGATCATGAGTTTAAAAATCAAACTAAAAATGTTACTAAAAAGGAGAAAATGTCTAAATGAATCTGTACAAATGTACAAATCAATATATGAGATCTTAGCAAGGAAAATATAAAAATTGTCTTTTTTAATAACTAAAGCATTTCATTAGTTAAAAGGAAAAATTCTGAATTTCCTCTTACATGTTTGGTCCTTATAGCTTCCATGGACAAAGCAGTCCTAACCATTTTAGCAAATTCCAATTAAAATACTCTAATAATGTTGAATCTAGGATAACCTATCATCTATAAAGATACAGAATCCTGAATGTTACATACAGTAAATGAAAAGGTTGAATCTGACCATGTTAACAGTATTCCACGATGAAAATAAAAGATCCAGAAAGGCAAAAATAAATAAATAAATAAATAAATAAAATAAAATAAAAATACTTTTTACACACTAAGCCATTTCCTTAGATGAAAACGTGGCCCCCTGACATGTTCCACCAAACATGTCACCTGGAACTTAGTGCACATTCCAATATTTGAGAGTAATCGCCATGGTGACTTTTGTCCACTGACTGCTTCATTGGGATTTTTTCTTTAATGGAGATATAACTTAAATACAGTAAAATGTATTCATTGTATGGGTTCAATGAGCTTTTAAACAGGTGTACACCATCTAAGCAACACCCCAGTTTAGATATAAAACATTTTCAGGGAGCCTGGGTGGCGTAGTCCGTTAAGCCTCCAACTCTTG